TGTTTCTCCTCTTCTATCCTGCTACGTACCTCCACCCACCTACTTATCCATCCCATCATCCACACACCCACCCATCCGTCCATCCATCCCATCCGTTCACCGACCTACTCCTTTATCCAACCCATCCATGTAACCCAGCTAATACATACCAACCATTCCCTCACCTATGCATCTGTTTAGCCGTTCATTCATTCATTCATCTTTCCATCCATTCATTTACTCATCCACATACCGACCTACCTAGCTACCAACTCATTTATTCACCCACCCACCCCCTCATTCATCCAGCAAACACATACACAATGCCCACTATGTGCCAGGCTAAGTCTGGTGGAGATTGGATGGATACTAGTGAGGATAGATGGAGAGACAATAGTTAGGCTAATAAGCAAGCTATATCTGATAACAGTAAGTGCTATAAAGAAAATAAGAATGGGCCAGGTACAGTGGCTCACACCTGTAATCCCAGCCCTTTGGGAGGCCGAGGCGGGTGGGTCACGAAGTCGGCATTTTGAGACCAGCCTAGCCAACATAGCTAGCCAACATAGTGAAACCCCGTCTCTACTAAAAATACAAAAAAATTAGCTGGGCATGTTGGTGGGCGCCTGTAATCCCAACTACTCAGGAGGCTGAGGTGGGAGAATCGTTTGAACACAGGAGGTGAAGGTTGCAGTGAGCCAAGATTGTGCCATTGCACTCCAGCCTGCGTGATAGTGTGAGACTCCATCTCAAAAAAAAAAAAAAAAAAATAAGAATGATCAGGCGCAGTGGCTTACGGCTGTAATCCCAACTTTGGGAGGCTGTGGTGGGAGGATTGCTTGAGGCCAGGAGTTCAAGGGTACAGTGAAGTATGATCATGCCACTTCAATCCAGCCTGGGTGACAGAGTGAGACCCTGCCTCTTAAGGAAAATATGATGAAATGGAGACCAACTGAGGGTCATGGGTGGTGTGGATAGGATGCTCTGAAAAGACACATGTGAGCTTCCCCAAAGAACGTGTGAAGGAACTAATCATACAAAGAGCAAGAGCAAGAGTACTCCAGGGAGGGGAAGCAGCAGACACAATGGCTCCAAAGTGGTAAGTGCTTTAGGGTGCCAGAGAAAGGGGTCCCATGAGGCTGGCAGGCAGTGGGTGGGGACGAGATAAGAATCTTGGAATTTCAGTTTTTTTGTTTTGAGATGGAGTTTTACTCTTGTCACCCAGGGTGCGGTGCAGTGGCGCAATCTCAGCTCACTGCAATCTCAGCCTCCCAAGTAGCTGGGATTACAGGGACCTGCCACCACGCCTGGCTGACTTTTGTATTTTTAGTAGAGATGGGGTTTCACCGTATTGGTCTAGGGTGGCCTCAAACTCCTGATGTTAGGTGATCCGCCTCGGCCTCCCAGAGGTGCTGGGATTACAGGTGTGAGTCACCTGCCTGGCTGGAACTTCTAAGAGCAAGAGAGAGCCATGGACAGGCGAGTGACAAGATAGGATTAGATGGATGTTTTCAACAGTCCC